TGAAGGGGGGGGGGTAAAATTGTCGAAAAAGTGCGTTACGTAATTTGTGGACGGTCCTTTAAACGAATTTCCAAGCTCAAAAAAGCTCTTATAGTCGAGACCCTAATTATTTACGGGATCGCCTCCGTTATAGAGAGAGCCAACCTCTGTATCAGTCACATTCTCTATGCACAGACAGGGAGCAAACACATTAGCAATGTTGCCGTGGTCCCAACCTTGGAATCCCTACACTAAGTGACAACCTGCTAATGTATTCGCTCCTTATCTATGCATGAAGACTTTTACTGGGTATACTGCCGTGCTAAGGAAAAACGCCGTATGAATCTTCCAGGGCCGGATTTACCTACTTGCCGACCATAGGCCAACTGTATTTTTCCGCCCCCTTCTAATTCGTTCAGTGAACGTGCCGTTGCGGGGATCGGTGTATGAAACGCGTTTACTCGTGTTGGGCACATTTTTTTTTTGAAAGCCCTGTCAAAACTAATAAAAGCTCACGGAACTTTACGCGGAAGTCAAGTTCCGTAAACCCATCCTTGTTTGGACAAGGCCTTCCATTTATAACAAACGAACGAAAAAATTATGAAAGAACAAACATAAATCGACGGTGTAAGTCGGCAATCACATAACTCGTTTGCGGTGTCTGAAAATCTCCGCCTCTATGTTATTTTTTTAAAGGAGAACAAATTGACATCATTCCTTGAAGTTTTTGCTGAATTTTCTCCGCGAAGAGAGGAAAAATCACGGCAGTCTAAAAGAATTGCCGTTGAGTAGTTTTCCGTTTAAAAAATGAAGTATGACAGGAAGTCTGCGACGTCGCAAACCGAGTTATGTGATTGCCGACTTACACCGTCGAAATGTGGTTTAATAATTTTAACTTCCGCCACTGAGCCGACCGCACTGTGTTTGGCGCAATGCGTGAAGTATTCATGCAGTCTTGTAGGCGCTATGCGAATCCGAATTTGTCTTCGCGCTGAATCCGATTTTGTCTTCTTTTTTTTTTTTTTGATACCTACATTCAAAAAGATTGCAAAATTTGCCGCCCCCTACATTTTGCCGCCATGGGCCGCGGCTCATGTGGCCACCCCCTTTATCCGGCCCTGGAACCTTCTGGCGTTGCCGAATTTCCTTCGATAAAACATGAATTTCCTACCAAACTTATGAATATTTTTCTTCTAATTTTTCAGCCAAAGTTCGCAATTTCACCTACAGTTCCTGAAAATTTCAAGGAGAAATATTCGAAACTTTCCTTTAAAATAAACACTTTATAGAAGGGAATTTGGCAACTCTCCAGTGTTTTTACGGCGTTCTTCCTTAGCACGGCAGTATAACGGTTGACTCTCATCGTAACATACACGATCCCATCCATAACAGCATTAACTTTGAGAATCTTTTTTTGAGCTCGGGAGTTTGTATTAGAGAAAATCTGTGGCATCATTCTATTTTTAGCAAAATTTTACATAAGGAAAGAGACCTACATCTCAAATCCTTGCGTCATGCATGAGCACCTCCGCGGAACCCTGGTAAAAATTGGCAGTAGAATCTGTGTTCCAAAATACCATAGACCTACAGCCGGCTGTAAGATTTCCAATAGCCTCTATAGCCGGCTACACAATTTCTTATAGCCTTGTATAGCCGATGGCGATTAAGCAACAGCCTGGCGATAAAGTGTATGCTAAACGTTACTAATTACGGATGCTAGGACTTAGTGAGTTTTTGGAATACTGCTCTCTTTTTGGGCCGTAGTATCTCGATTTATTTTGCGAGGAAAGATCCGTATTTTTGATGGATGCCTGCCATCACTGATATATTAGAGCGCCTTCAGTTTCGTATGATACTGTGCAATACCTCTGGTGTGAAATAGTTGCTTCAAGCGCCGTGGTACGCTGCGGTGCGGCACGGCGGGCGGGCAACCAGCGCGAAACGCGCATTGGCGCCTACAAACCTAACAGGGATACTTCACGCGTTGCGCAATGCGTGAAGTATCCCTGTTAGGTTTGTAGGCGCCAGTGCGTCGCCGCTCCGCTTTGTGTTAGGCTCTAATATTTAATCTGGCGGAGTCAGCGTTATTCAACTCATGATTTTGAAATGTTTGCACAACCTGTATGGATTATTCTCATTTCAATTGATGAAAAAAAATATGTATTAAAGGGAAATATAACGTGTGTTTTTTAAATATTAAGGTGGTTCCGTATCAAACTTAATTATTTCCAAAGCACACGAATTTCTACACAATTTCTTATAGCCTTTCATAATCGATGGCGAAAAAACAACAGCCAGGCGATAAAGTGTAAAGCCCGGCGATAGGAACTTAGGGGCTTAGGAACTATAGCCTGGCTGCATAATTTTTTATCGCTTTGTATAGCCCGCCCGTATGATTTTCTCCGCATTCTACAGCCAGCTATATGATTTTCTGTAGCCTTCTTTAGCCGGCTATAAGAATTCCTATGGTATTTTGAAACGCAGCTCTTATCGCCAATTTTTACCAGGGAATGCGTGGCCGTCCACTGAGACAGAATTTTCAGTGCTGTGATTTCTTTCGAGTTAGGTCGAGGAATCGAATTTTCAGCTCTCGACGGAAAACGCTCCATACGACCCGTTCATATCAGTATCGCATGCAATAAATACTAAACGAATTTCGATCAATTTAACGCTCAGATGCAACTCCATGGATGTCCGTGTAAGTGCATACGCACTAAAGTGAAGGCGCTTTGACTCTCCAGGCACTCTTCGCTTTACCCGTGGCGTGGCGCGGAGTTTGCGAGCTGTCCAGGAGGACAGAGCGCCTTCAACTCTTCGTTTATACTATAAAGACATCCCAAGTCGTTCTGGCACAAATCATGGCTTCTATCGAGTCACCTTAAACTAGATCCATTTGGACTGAGTTAAGCAGAAAGGAACCAACCCACATTTTGGAAAAAATTAAGTCATGAGTGGTTTTGAACTCAACCATTGTTCTACTATCTATCGCCAAAAATTCAAAGTTTTTTTTGGAGCAAATTATGCAGAAATTGAACTTGAAGTTTATCTTTTACATTGAGTCTTATGCAGGAGCCAAACTTCGAACCTCTTTTTCTCGGTTCGATCCCGATGTGGCTTGGTTCCTTTCTGTTTAACTCCGTCCATTTTTTTCTACCCACCTCGACATGGGCTTCAATGTTGGTAGAATCCGAGCCTCGTAAATACCGAAGGCTCCGCTTGGCTTCTTCGTAGCGACCCTCGTTGACGAGCCAGCAGGGGGACTCGGGGGTCCAGACCACAGAGCAGATCAATCCGATGGTGCAGACTCCTGTGTAAGATGCCGAGGCCACGTTCCACGGCAGGTAGCCGCCCACCAGGAACGCAGTTAGTATCCCTGACGAGAACAGGGGCATGAGCAAGGCCGCCAGGCGACTTCGTTGGTCCCTGCTGCACATCTCCGGAAGGTAGACGATTGTCCCTACTCCAAAACCTGGTAAAAACGAGGGGGGAGCAGTATAGAATAGTGACTAGAACTGTGCCATTGAGGTGAATCGTCTACACTGAAAGAAAAAGTCAAGGGCTATGTAGACATACCGTCCGGTCCGGGCTCAGAGGCCGAAAGTTCCGGGTGCTGGAGCCGTAGCTTCGCCCAAGTAGCGGTGATCGCGATAAACAGCGATTTTATCGATTGGTTATCGCGATTATATCGATGGCGATATATCGAGATATTATCGCAAAAAAATTGCGATATATGGCGATTAAATCGCCATATAAACCACACATCTCAATTTTCGTCGATAAAATCGAGATTAAATCGCCATTTACCTCGATTTTTATTTCGAGAATATCGCGATAAATTGTCGAGCGACCGAAACGCGGTTTTATCGCGATAAGATTGAGGATAATCGCTCAGATGTTGGTGATCCTGGCGATTTTATCGCGGATAAGATCGCAATATGTAGCGATTTTTCCGTTGAGAAATGCTACTTGGACGATTGCTCCGGGTGCTGCGTCCGAAATTTTCGGCCTCTGGGCCCGGAACGCGGACGGTATCACTGGTAAAAAAAAACCTCTTGGACCAATGCCGCATTGCATTGACTTAAGAGTGCAGTTTCTTGTCGCCGGATTTAAGAATTTTGAACCCTTGTTTCAAGCGGATTTTGCATTGAAACAAGAGTCCAGACTCTTAAATCCGGCGACAAGAAACTGCACTCTTGAACCAAGCTGTTTTTATTACCAGTGTGTCTATACAGCCTGTAAGTACGGTTTCCAAGGACGGGGTTTTTTTGCAAGTGTAGAGATATGTTTTACATCTTTCGGTATCACTATGGTAAAAAAAAACTCTTGGACCAATGCCGCATTGCATTGACTTAAGAGTGCAGTTTCTTGTCGCCGGATTTAAGAATTTTGAAC